CCGGAGACCCCACTTCCACCGCCGTGCCTGCCCTTCGAAGTCGCAGCTCCGAGATACGTACACTGCCAGACAGCCAATGGGGCAGGCAGGAGAGAATCCGGGGAAGAGAAGACATGTCCGCAATGCCGGGTCGGTTTGGGGCCACGTCATCTGGGATAAGCCTCAGATCATAGCAGTAAGTCAGTAATCGTGCTGCCTCGAAAGAAGGATGTTAACTACTAACTCAAGGCAGAAGAAGTAGTTTTGGGTACGAGCATGCCAAATCCGGCAGCATCCGGTGATGCAGCCTGCGAAACCATCATCTTGGCGTCCGAGCGATGCCTGGTCATCGAATTGCGGGACTCGACTCTTCCGCAGCTTGAATGGATGAATGCCTGTTAAGTTCCGATGCCCTTCGGAGCTAACCACGGATCGGGGCCGGCGGAGTTGCACACTGGACCCGTTTATCCCTCTCCTAGCGCACGGGGCCGCGGCCGCTAATAATCACGCAAGCTATGTACTTGCTTTTGGGTGAGGACTGCCCCGAAGCCACTCGGCTCGGGGGACGGGGATTGGGTTCAACGATCGGACGTTAGATGGGCTTGGAGCCTAGCGTAAGGGGAAAATGGAGACCAACGTAACCCTACAACGATTTGAGTACTACGTATGAAGATGTGCAAGGGCGGCTGAGTAAGGCGTTGATGGGGAAAGCCGGAGGGAGGTGGATGCACACTGCATCAGTGCGGAGACGGCTGGTTTCTGTTTCTTGTGGGAAAGTATAAAACTATTACCTCTTACGGCTGATGCATCGCTGTTCTGTTTATCTTGATTCTAGCTCCCCATCGTGGTTTAACTCACTTTACACTAACTTGATTCACCGATTCCGTCCCAAGAACGCAGTCTTCAAACAGGCAAGATGGCGACAACGCTGGGATCTAAAAAGTCAATTCGCATCGGCGTAATGTTGGAGGCCGTGCAGCTGAGTGACATCATGGGCATCGATCTCTTCGGCAACCTGTCTCGTGAATACTACAATAAAGTCAAAGACTTTGATCCCGAATTCGCACAATGGGCCGACCACCCAGTAGATACCAAGTTCTACTTCATCTCGTCCACGCTGGAGCCCGCCGAGATGACACCCGGTCTCAAGTTCGTCCCGAACATAACCTACGACGACTGCCCTCGAGATCTGGACCTCGTCCTCATCGGTGGCCCACTCCCCAGCCATCGCCCTCCCGCTGCCGACCGCTTCATGAAGGAAGCCTACCCGAAGACCAAGGTCTGGTTGACAACGTGCATCGGTAGCCCTTGGTTGGCTAGCGCTGGGGTGCTGAAGGGCAAGAAGTGCACGACGAACCGCGAATTCTTGCCATACGTGAGGCAGGTCCACCCTGATACTGAGTGGCTTGACCAGAGATGGGTCGTTGAGGAGAAGGAGTATGAGGGCGAGGAGAAGGGCGAACTGTGGACTGGAGGTGGAGCCGGAGCTGGTAAGACTTTTATCGCTCACACCCTGCTCATTGTTGATGCTCACATGACTCTAGGCCTTTCGATGATCATCACATACTTGAACAAGAACTTCGATCCTGGATTTGTACAAAAGATGGCACTCGAAGCTATTGCATTTGAAGAGTTGGCGCTAAACCAGTTTTACAAAACCTCAAGGCCGACGGCATGAGCGGTCAGAGGAAATGATTGAATTATTACAAGAGTCTCCAAATTTTCACCATCGCGCAGAGCTGTTCCCTCCATCTTACTCATGTGTACTGAGAGCCTATCTATCATGCATCTACGTAACGAATGATGAACTCTGGGGAATCATACCGATCCCAGCTCTCCGGCAAGCTTCTATCCGCCATGATCTTCAGCGCAAAGATGCTGAGCTGGTATCTGCCAGCTGGCGCCCAAGAACCATCCGCCAAGCTACCATCCCAAGGGCTCATCCAGCCAATGGGCCTTACATAGGTCATGGGATATCCAGCTACGTTTCCAAGGGTCGCCACACCGAGGCCGTTATCTCTGGCATCTGAACTGGTCTCAGACGCTGGAGACGCGACTGGCACGGCCTCGAGACGAACCTCGGAGCTTCCCATAACCAGCCACAAGAACTGGTTAGGGAACGCTCCAAGGGGGAGAATAAGGCCCGAAGTGTTTGCCAAGGGTAAGGCCCAGTCAGGATGCGCAGCCGGAGCGGGAAGCTGGAATGTGGTGTTTGCGGGTACATCTGGGCTCCTTGGGTCGTCGCTGCGACTGAAAATGAGGCGATTTGCAGCCAAGACTGTGATGTTCTTCATAGATGTAGCTGCGCCGATGTAGGGGACCGATAGCGCGATCTCGCCGTCACCGTTGGTCCCGTTGAGAGCGACCCATCCAGAGTACAGTGGGAGGGTCGCGGCGTCCAAACCCTTGGGAGGAACCACGCTGATGCGAACTTCACCGGTAGCGTTGGGTTCCAAGCTAAAGCTGGATGGCTCAAAGGTCAGAGTCGCGTACGTCGTGAAGAGCTCGGGAGAGCTCTGACGATAAATGTCCGTGAGAGTGGTGGCGGTCAAGGCAGGAATGTGGGATACGTTATACGTTGCCGCTGTGTCTCCGACGTTGGTTATAGTGAACGTGGTGTCGGAGATGAAGTTGTCGGTGTCGTTGAACGAGAGACTGGCTACGCTGAGAACTGATGTCGCGTACGCTGCGTCGTAGGCCTGTACCATGCCGGCTCCTTGTTGTGGCACAGGGCCGAGGCCGGCTTCGATATTGTCGACTCCGTAATTCTGTGAGAGGTTTGGCTTTGCGGTTGAGGCAAGCAGCCTCTTGATCAAGTCGGGATCCTTAGTTCCCCGTGCCTGTTCGGTGTCAGTCTGATTAGCCTGGCCAGAAAGACGTCGTTCTCGCTGCAGAAACCTACCTGAGATACAAGAGCTACAATACTGGCAACTAGAGGAGTTGCCATGGAAGTACCAGATGCCTCAGCATACTCACCAAGAGCAACAGGCCAGGTGCTCAAGATACCGGCACCGGGAGCCCCAAAACTCGGCGCAAGCTTGAGCTCGAAGGTCGGACCCCAGCTCGTAAAAGCTGACACCTTTCCTTCACTATCCGCTCCTTGACTCTGGTAGGATGATATGGACATCACCCCGTCACCAGTGCTCGGCGTGCTGATTCCGAACAGGCCTTCTGTACCGCCAACCTCGTTGCCAGCGGCGAAAGTGCAAGGAACGCCGGCATCCACGATCCTCGAGACAGTCACGGCAAACGCCTCTCCAGCCCAACCATTAGGACCTCCGATGGATCCAGTGATGATATCGCTGCCGTCCTCAAAGGCCTTGATAACGCCTGCAAGCAGAACATCGCCAGTCGTCTGGCCGTTACACGCAAAGGTCCGGTACATGCCCAGCTTCACCCCAGGCGCCGCACCGGTGAAGCCCATGGGGTTCTCCATGGCAGCAATGATACCGGCGACGTGGGTGCCGTGGCCGAGACAGTTCTCGAAGGGATCCGCATCGGGGACGGGCGCGTTCGTGCCGTCATAAGCGTCACCCACGATATCGGATCCGAACTCGACGAGACATCCTGGACCAAAGCAGCCGCCTAGGGCGGGGTGGGTGTAGTCGATGCCTGTGTCCACGATGCCAATCTTGAGACCTGTTCCGATGAAGCCCTTTGCACGGAGCTTGTCGACTTGCGTCATGACGTGGGGTGGCCAATTATCTGTGGAGTTTATTTGGCGTTTGTACTTGGATGGAGTCTTGTCTTTGCCGGTCCAGGTGATGTCGAGCTTTGGGACGCTGATCAGGGGGACGGGCCAGAGTTTCTTGACTTGCGGGAGGCCGGCGATCTTCGAGGCTGTCTCATTATCGGAGCCCTCGACGTGAATGGAGACACCCTTGAAGATCTTGGAGTGGAGGTTGAGGCGCTGCGAGATCTTGGTCGCGCCGGTTTCTGTCTCCAGCTGGCTGAGGAATCCAGTGCCATCCTGTGACTTGTTAGAGAATCGCCAATGGGTGCAGGTGAAGCTGGCGAACTGACTTGATCGTCGGCGAACTCAACAATGAATGCGCCGGGAACATCTGTCTTCTCGAAAACTGGCGTCACATCTTTCTCCACCGCCGATGCAGAGGATAAGACCGCGATGCCGGCCAATGCCGCAAGTGATGCTCTCAGAGCAACCATGCTGAGCTGGTTTCTGCGGTACAAAGAACCTCAAGGAACCTCAAAGTCCTACAGCTCATAGCTACGAGGAAGCCAAGGATATTTTACCTACATGATTTGCTTATTTATACGTCTAAAATCCAAATGATATGATGGGCGCGCCTCTGAACCCCTTGCCCGTGATCATCTACGTCGCATTTGACACTATCACCATGTGGTGTTGAGGGGGTACATTCCCCACCAAAAATCGCCCAAAACTGACATTCGGATAGATGAAGCGACTCGAGAGTGCGGGGCAACACGAGATTACTGAGAGCAATTGAGCAAGATAAGAGCGCCAAAGATTGAGGGCCATACTGTGATCTTCTCACGGTTGCAGCGGATGGATCCCCTCGTCACGAACACGGAACTTGTCGATTCTGGTAATGAACCTTGTCTGTGCCGCAGCATTCAACGGTCTTGTTGCAGCAGTTCAGATGGAATCAGCAAGGAAATCCGGAAGTCCATCAACGGGGAGCGAGGGGCATAAGGAAGGTGGTATCCTGCATAACCCCCTTGTTACCGTCGCTGGCGCGAATGCAACGTGATCTTGGCGCATACTGCGTACAGTGTTGCTTCAGTTGGCGTGACCGGGATGGTGGCCGATACTGAGAGTGCGGAAGAAAGAGATTTCACCGCGATCAAAGTGTGGTGAGATATCGGGAGGATTACCAAGGCTCGCATTCGGTCGAGGGGTTGACTAATGGAGTCCGTCGAGACTCAGCGCACGAAGCACACGTGAAAGAGCCGGTATGCAGCGTTATCAACGCCAAATATTAAGCTTAGATTCACTCGAATAGTTGGCCCTCCAAAGTGAGAGCAACGGTAGAGGTCCTTCATGCAGATGTCTCGTTCACCACCGACCACGCTCCCTCCAAGTACAACTTGTCCAGCGCCGCCGCCGCCGTGGTATTGTCCACCTTGAGGTTCAACCAGTGCTGATTAGTGACATTCCAATCATAGACCCACTCATTCGACCCATTGGCATGGACAAAGTTGCGCCCGTACTTGTTACCGTATTCAAAGATGTCCCCGAGACCTTGCATAGCATACAACACCGTCAGTGGATCCCACGACTGCCGGGGCCGATAAAAGTTGTAGTAAATGTAAGCTTGCCGGACCGGATCCGATACGGGACCCTCGGCGAGCAGCTTCGCTCCGGACAGCACGATTGAGCCAACCTCAGTGCCGCAGAAAACCACGCGCCCCTTCCAGTTGTTCACGACGTGCGCCGTGTGTGAAGGGTTATCGCCAAAGAAGTTGAACTCACGACCGGACGGGTACTCACCGCCCATGACAACCAGCTCCAAGACCTTGCTTGCAATCAACGCGGGGCCCGTGAGGTTAGAGATAGCGTCGGCGGTGGAGTTTAAGAGCGCGGAGAGGTTCTCGAAGAAGCCGATGGAGACAATGGTCACGGGCTCGTCGGCCCCGGCGAGGATCTTGCGGTAGAGCGTCACCGCGTCCGAGGCGTTTTCGGCCTGGCCAAAGGGGAGCGAGCCGCCCGAGTAGTGGTATGAGATCTTGCTCGCGTACTCGCCTAGGTCGTAGGCGAAGGTGTCGAAGAAAGGCTCATCTGTCATTGGCCTGCGTGCGCCGATGGGGACATCTCCGAGGCCATAGTGAGCGAGGATTGCCGAGGTTGCCGTTACGGAGTATGTTGAAGGGTAGTTGACGTTGACACCGAGGAGATTCACGTCTGGTGAGGTTGCCGCGAGGAGAAGGGCGCCGGTATCACTGTTGTGATGTTAGAGCCTGGGTGTTTGGTGATGCTTGGGGGGACATGGGTGGCACTGACTCGCAGTCACTGAAGATGTCAGTATCGATGATAATGTTTTTGCGCGCTGCCAACGCCGGCAGTATGGCCAGCGCGGCGGCAGCGACTCTCGCGATGAACGCTGAGACCATGGCTGATGAGGCTTGCCACTCAGAAACTGTCTTGAGCCAAGTTCATGAGTGAACGGCGGGTTGGAAAACTTCGGATGAACTGGTGTTTGTATTGAACCTTTCAGGGGAGAATCCTTATCTTGACTCGGTAATATGAGGGGAAATAGAACTCCTCTTGCCAGGGGCTAACTCCGATTTTAGGAGATGAGTGGAGCTTTTAGTTCAATTTGAAGGGGATTTTCCACGGGAAATGTCCTCATTGTCAAGGTTCAACGTTGAAGAGTCAACTTCGATGAAGGGGGTGGGCCGATAAGGAAATCTCTCGAAATTGCTGCGTTTACCAAGCTCTTTGAGAACTCGTATTTGCAGCAGATCGGCAACTGACATTCAACGAATTGTGAGAAAACTCCATGCTGTATCAAACACAAGACTAAGCTATTTCTACTTCATTTGTATCATATGTACGTCTATCTTATGATTTAGCTCATGCGGACTATTTACTAAGAGTAAGAGCCGACTTACATCAAGAAAATGCTAAACTCCACTTATGTTCTAAAGTATGCTTCCCTCAACATCGCGGGCGAATCCTCACCGGTACCTCTCTATCAAATGCATGCGATCCAAATGGCATAGCTCGATGATGTGACCGAGCCTTGGCCGCATCCGCCGGATCCAAAATCTCCACGTCAAAGTCCCTTAGAATGAGAAAGACGGAGACAAGAATAGTATTCTTTGCCAATGTCTCGCCCGGACACCTCCAAGCGCCTCCTCCAAAGGGGAAAAAGTGCCCTCGCAGCGCTGATGGATTCGACAGTTTAGCCTTGGAATCATCGTACTTCTCCGATACAGTGTAGTTGTGCATCACCAAGTCAGACTTCCGAAGCGGACCGCTTGTCGGATCATCGGGGTACTCGAGGAACCGCTCTGGCCAGAAGGAATCAAGAGAGTGCTCTTTGACCCCGTTGATGGTCCGGCCCGTGTTCCAGATGGCTCCGTCGAGGCCGCCGAGCCAGCTTGCTGATAAGGCGGTGGTCCCCGATGGTAAAGTGGAGAAGGAATCCCCGTGGAGACGGAGACCGGCACCGACCGATTTGCGGCCGATAGCGCCGGCAACGTGAAGTCTTAATGTTTCTCGATAGACTGAGTTCAGTAGCGGAGCCGATGACAATGCTGTGCAGTCTAGTGATGCTGCCTTGCTGTCGTTTCTAATGTCTAACTCGTGTCTTAATCTGGACGTAAGAGTTGCGTCCAGGAGAGCATGCAGCATCATCCAGCAGGCGGCTGGAATGGTGTTTGCAGTTGTTCTGTATGATGATATTAGACCAGGTCCACCTCCAACTTGCAAAGATTGGGAGTAAGTGGACTTACACAAATAAGAAGCCCAGGATGACGCTCGAAGTTCCGGCATTCGAGAACCCGAGATTCTCATAGCGCCGGACCATGTTCCTCACGTAGCGGGTGCCCCAGATAGGATCAGATTCAGCATCACCCGGTTCCGCATCATCATTGTTACTGTTAGAGTTGCACCAGTCTCTCCACTTGCTCAGACTCCTGATTACCCGGTCACGCCTACGGTACTGGGACGGATACATCCATCGTGGGCTCCCACGTGAGACAATAGGGAACGCATCGTAAAAAGCCCAAAAGTCTTCACAAAATGATTGGCAAAGCCTGAAGATGTGCTTCCCATACAGCGCCTCGACTTCCGCACGGAAAATGGTGTCGCGAACGAACTTGTACAAATCAGGGATGGCGACGGGATCTTGGTTAGGAACAGAAGCGTTCTTTGGGCAGAGTCGTTGACTGAAGTTGGAAGAGAATCTATCCATCACAAGCCTCAGATTCTCCCCGTTCAAGAAGGTGATGAAGTCTTTTCGTTGATGTTCCATGATTCTTCGGGATGCGTCCGGATGAGAAGTTGTGAGTCCTGCTTCGTCACGCGTCTCGAATGCCGAGATGTGATCGTGGTCGAACACATGATAGTCCACCGCTTCCAAGCCGAAGAAGATTGTCAAGGCATCGAAGATCCCAGGTACTGGGACGAGGTCTCGAGGCCCCTTGAAGAGTGACCGCACGCCTTCACCGGGAAGGACATAGCAAAGCGAACTTCCAGGTACTGAGAGGGATATAACGGTATTATGTAGGCGAGACCTAAGGCTGGTATCAGCAAGCATAAATCTGAGGTGGATTTCCATCATGTCACATACTGTAGAGGACGAAGGAATTTCTCGGCGTTGAAGAGAATCGCATAGGCGTGGCCAAGTCCGGGAACAAAGTATGGAGGTATGACAAGCCGCCTATTTCCTAGCTTCTCGTAATGTTGATTCTTCCAGAGAAATCGGATAGAGGTGAGAAGATAAGTGAGAAGGAAGGGAGTGCTCAAGATTAAAACAGAGCATGCGGACTTGGCGAGGGCATCTCGTCCCGCGCCGCTCAAACAAGCTTCTCCGAGCACTAAGGTAAACATGATCAGAGCCTTGATGAGTGTCAAACCAAAGCTTCTACGTCATTCAGAAAGAGGAAAGAGAACATCCATGATCCAGAGGATCTTTGGTTTTTCTTATAACATCATTCAATGTCTCAAAGAGCCAGAGACCCATTATCACATCGAAGTTTCGACATATCAAATAACAGCTGGTAATCGCGCGAATAGCCATCTATTTACATGATCGCGGAAGGTTTCAGAGTGTCATTGGGGGCTGTTATTGCCCGCTGCCTTGATTTTGGCCCCTCGTCACGCAGCTCGTGTTGGTTGTGAACATGAAGACTTGGCTGAGAGGATTGTGGCAGAATACCCTTGCCGCGGGTGATACCTTCTTTTGGCAACTCTTCAGCAAACAATGTCCATCTTTACGGCGCGACCGCCGCAGAAAGACATATATCACTTATCATGGCGCTTCTCCGACTCCAAGGTGGCTTGCGGCCCGGATTGCATGCTTCTCGATACTCGGTGGATCCGTGCATTTCGTTTGTTCGAGGGAATGATGATATCAATCCAAGCCGGAGATCCCTCAACTTGACTTGTCTTCCAGGATATCATCGATCGCAATTTGACGCCCGGTTTGTTTGCTTGGTGGGGTAGCTTTGGTGAAGGCAACGTCAAGCGCTGAGCCGCCGCACCGCCGAGTCTACCGCCGGCATTCAATGGAGACGGACGGTGACTTGACTTGCATGTGTACTCGGAAAAGAGCATACACAGTTACCACTCGAGACGTGGCGAGCTTTCGACTACGGCACCAACCCCAACGCTGAGCCTCCGAGTTTTGGGGGTCGGGATTCTGCACACAGCTTCGGAGATGGCCCCCAAGGATGGTAGGGCAATATGTGGGACTCCGTTGTGATGCCGCATGGGATTGGGCTGACCTTTTGTTTGCTCAATGTCGTTGGAAGCGGCAACATGGTCGTTCAGGATGCGATGGGTTTGATTGGACCAGCAGGTTGGCTTTGCCGCAGGTGAGGAAGAATCCATGCTCCCACGGGATGGATGCACTGTGACACTCTCATGCAGGCAGTCACTTGGCTGGATTCAGCCCGCCACGGTCCACAGGTGACAATAGGTAGCAGGCGCCACTCCCGCGGCACCCTCTATATTTGACAGATATCTTCGAGCAGACAGGAGGGTTACACATAATTCCTTCTGGACGGGTGGCTTGATGTGACGATTTGAGACTTTGCAGCCATGTTGCCAACCTTGCTGTTTGCCTTTGTGTATGCGGTATCCATCACAGATTCGTCAACTTAGTAGGTAAGATAAGGTAGCAGGACAATCCCAGGTTATTGGATCGAACACAGGTCACTTGTACAACATGTTGCGATCAGGACCGTTGTGGGGGTATTGTTGAGGAGGATGGGCATTCACAGAGCTCGCAAGGGAGGAATTAGTTTAAAGGCTAGCGGTCTGATGTTGGCGGATTGGAATTATTCCCTCTCCGCACAGTATGGACTTGTGCCCAAACTACTCCAGGGCCGCGCCCGTCCACAAACAGTCTTGGCCTAGCTAAGAGATAGAACAATAGAAACAATGTGGGAAAAGTTCGGAACCCCCAGAAAGACAATCCTTTTCTGCAGTATTCCAAGGCTCATTGAGTTGATGATACAAAGGTATCTCGGGTAGACCTTGGGTAGGGAAATCATCGGCCATTGAACACCAAGCAGGACGATCTGTGTCCTCGCCAGTGTCGGACTGGATGACGGCGTGAACTTGACACTCTGGACAAGATTCTATCAATTTTCTCCCTGAACGTATCCTTCGAAGACTGCGGATCTGATCCCCGATAGCACGAACAGCATGTACAAGCCTCTAGGATTATGCCCCGAGGGCTTCAAGATCGTTTGCTTGCGCAAGATTCCCGGAAACCAACCTAGACCGGGCTAATGGACGCACTGTTTGCACAGTTTGCTTGAAACCGACATCCATGCCCTGCAGGATCTCAATGCCGTGTTAGATTCGTTCCGTACCGTGAGGGCCGCAAGCTCGGGGCAACGCGGGTTTCCGTTTCCTCGGGCCATGGTCAGTATAAATGGAAATTACCCCGCAAGGGCCGGGCGGTCCGTGAACGCCGACAGGATAGTTAGTGTACTTAGCACAGAGATCTTGTAGTTGGGGTAATTGTTAGGCATTCCCCGCGTTGTGTCTACTCATACGTAACACAACACAGAAGCTTGGTGGTTCACCCCAGTGCCGGCGGGAAACATCCTCTGTGCGTCGATGGAGTGCCGAGGTCCTGATGACAGTATACTATCAGCCCCGCCTACTGTTGGGCATGCTGAGATAGTAAATCTAACAACACACAACCTAACCGTCGACTGCCTGCAAGTTGTCAATCAGAGCCATATTCCAGGTGTTTAACCCGTAGCTTGCATAAGCATGTCTTCTCAATCTCGAGAAGCCCCGTGGAAGGCCATTGCACGACGTAAACAGGCTGAGAGAGCAGCGCGCATCTCATCAAAATGGCACATCCCAATCAAGGCCATCCCGAATGACCCCCCTCAACCAGGTGACGGGCCACAGAGAGTTCTTGACATGCCGCGCCAATTCTTGTCTCAATCAGAAATCTCAATTACCGAAACTTACACGATTCCAACTCTGCTCAAGGCCATAGGGACGCGCAAACTCTCAGCTAGACAAGTCACCGAGGCCTTCTGCCACCGAAGTGCCATAGCGCAGCAACTCACAAACTGTTTGACGGAACCATTATTCGAGACCGCCTTGAACCGGGCTCAGTTTCTCGATGACTACCTCCGCGAACACGGCGCCCCCCTCGGCCCCCTCCACGGCCTCCCCGTCTCCGTAAAAGACACATTCAACGTTGCAGGCGTCGACACCTCAATGGGGCTGGCATATCTGTGCCACAAGCCCGCAGCCTCCAATGCGCCGCTGGTTGATCTCCTGCTCTCTTTGGGGTGCGTCATCATCGCCAAGACCAACATCCCGCAAACTCTCGGAAGTCTGGATTCCGTCAACAACGTTTTTGGCCGGACCATGAATCCTATCAACCGACTGTGCACCGCTGGCGGATCCTCTGGCGGCGAGGGCGTCCTCGTGGCCATGAAGGGTTCCATGATTGGAATCGGAACCGATATTGGTGGCAGCATCCGCGTGCCTGCTATGTGTAACGGTGTCTATGGCTTCAAGCCCTCCATTGGCCGCGTTCCGTACGGCGGACAAGTTCTTACTGGCATTGACGGTATGAGCCGCACTTCCGTGCAAGCTGTTGCAGGCCCTATTGGCCGTAGTGTTGAGGACATAGATGCTCTCCTGCGTGAGATCGTCCCTCGGGCAGCTCTATGGGGCGAGGATTGCATGCCCGCATCGTGGCCCTCCAGCTTGGGAGTGTCGTCGATCTCGGGCTGCGGCAAGAACGGGGAGTTGGTTATCGGCGTTCTTCGCACGGATGGAAATTGCAGCATTCATCCACCTCTTGATCATATGCTGGACGAGGTCTCTTCAGCTCTTTCGCACACACGCGGTGTGAAGGTGGTTGAGCTGTCATGCCCCGCGGCACTCACCAAGGCACAGTCAGTCATGAACAAGCTCATGGGCGTCGACGGCTCCGTCACCATGGCCGAGATGATTGAAGCAACAGGCGAGCCCCTAGTCCCTTGGACAGCAGCACGATTCAAGAAGGGGAAGCCGCTGCCACTTACGCAAGTTGCTCAGCTTCAAGCACAACGAGCAACGTTGGAGCGGGAGATGCTCAAGATGTGGGTCGAGAACGATGAACACGGTCGCAGGCGAGAGAAGCTGGATGCTGTGATATGTCCGGTTGCGCCGCACCCTGTGCCGCCCGTCGAAGGATACAATGCTGTCGGTTTGACTAGCAGTTGGGTGATGCTTGACTATCCTGCAGGAACAGTACCAGTGCGAGACGTGAGGGAGAGTGATCTGCAGCTTGGTCGGCCACAAGGTGGAAAGATCCTGAGTAGCTGGGACGAGAGGAACAGAGAGCTATGGGACGAGAAGAAGATTGACCGAAAGATCTACCTAGGGACGCCGCTGAGTGTTCAGGTCGTTGTACCAAGGTTGCGGGATGATCGACTGGTTCAGGTCATGGCTAGCGTAGATGCAGCTTGCAAGGGCACAGGTGTGAACGCAAAGCTCTAAGTTGAATTGCTTTCGTAGTAAACAGATCAACCAGCCTTGGTTCGAATTGCAAATTGGTCTAATACGTGTTGCATGATGCTTCAGGGCAATCTACCATCAAAAGGTATGTAAGGTTCTACAAAGGAAGCCATAGCGCTGGCTCCAGTGCCCAGATCGAACTCATTCATCACGGCGTCCCAGTCTTGAGGAGCCATGATGTGATCGTACGGAGGTACTGCGAAATTGACCTCCGGTAAAGAAGGAATATCCCCAAGTTCCCCTTGTCCATACACCTGCTCTGTATGCGGTGGCCTCTTGCTTATCAAGGATCTTCGCTTGGCAGCAAAGCTAGCGAGCTCATAGAACGTCTTACACACATCGTACAGCTTCTTGGCTGAAGGCGAGCTGATTGATGTGGGTTCAATGGCAGAGACTGCGCTGCAGAGGAGTGTTAGGTCCTCTTCGGACGCCGTTGCCACGGTGTGTCCCGCGAGCACTACAAAGCTGGCAAAGGGTACTAGAGAGAACATCCTAATGAAATGTTATTAAATATGCATCAAGAATCACAGCAGCGTCATGTGTGAGCATACATGTTGAGGAGCATTGTCCATCCAGTGATTCTGAGATGGCCCCAGGATTCGAATGCCCTCACAATTGTACGAAGGGCACTTCGAGCAGCCTCCGTGCATTCGTTGCTGCATTTCAGTGGACTATCGCTTGCTTCATCGCATGGGATGACACGATAAGCTATCGTAACAAGACCGTACATCATGAAGTCGAGCAGCACGGCAAGCGCCTTATAGAGATCGTCGTCGGGAGGGTTATGTCCGATAGACTGCGGAATTTAGACAAGTCCTTTCAAACAGCATGATCACCCAAACCCA